CCCCCCCCCCCCCCCCCCCCGCCGAGGGTCGGGCAAAAACAATCTTCCTTGTTTTTGTTGGTAAAGACTCAGCCGCGCTCGGTTTAGCCCAACGAGGCCTTTGTCTTTCTATTTTTGTTGTTGTTTGGGGAGGAGGTTTCTGTGGTCTTGAGTTTGCAGCAATCCCGCTTTAGACTCCCAAAGGCTAGAATTATAGGTGGGAGACCCCACGCCCAGTTTCTCTATCCTGTTCTTAAACTATATATATAATTTTGTCATCCTGGCCTAGGTTGATCTCAGACTAACCATTTTCCCGCTTCAGTTTCTGTGTGTTTAAATCTACCAGCGCTGATCATCATACTTGGTTTCAATTATTTGTAAAATGAAATCTTGCCAAGTTACTCAGGTTGGTGTGGTAGTCAAGGTCCCCCTATGTCACTCAGCCTCCTAAATAGCTTAGATTACAGACCTGGACTAGCAGACCCAGCTAAATTTACTATAGAATTGCAAACACGAAGTTCAACATCTCGAGTAGTTTTTACATTTGGCATGCGACAAGGCTTTCGAACATTTTCCGTCTCGACGTCTTACAAGATTGCTCCAGGTGATAGTTAAATGATAAAATATGAAGGGGACCCTGAGGTTGGTCTCCAGCACCAAAAACAATTTTTAAGAAAGCTGAAACTGTTGGCGCACGCCTTTAATCCCAGCACTCCTGAGGCAGAAGCAGGTGGATCTCTGTGAGTTCGAGGCCAGCCTGGTCTAAAGAGTAAGTTTCAGGGCTACACAGAGAAACCCTGTCTCGAAAAATCAAAAGAAAAAAAAAAAAAAAAGAAAGAAACTGAAACTAGACCCATGGAACACCAAACCCCCATTCCTCCTTTCTTCCTGCCCCTGACACCCAGGCTCTCCTGACTCTTTTCATAGAAACAGAATCGTAAGCCACTTGTTTTTGTGACTACTTTATTTCACTAAAAATAATACCTTCAGCCTGGTGGTGGTGGCGCACATCTTTAATCCCAGCACTCGGGAGGCAGAGGCAGGCGGATCTCTGTGAGTTCGAGACCAGCCTGGTCTACAAGAGCTAGTTCCAGGACAGGCTCCAAAACCACAGAGAAACCCTGTCTCGAAAAACAATCAATAAATAAATAAATAAATTACCTTCAAGTTTACCAGAAAGGATTCCTTTCTATTTTGATGCCGAATACTATGTCATTGGATTATGTACACATCTGCTTTTGTGGGGGAAGGGATTTGTTTGGGAGGACAGGGTCTCATTATATAGCCCAGGCTCAGTAGTTGAACTCCAGGCTATCCTCAAACATTCCCAAAGCGTTGAGATTACAGACAGGCTTTGTACCAGGGCACGTTTTCTTTGATCTTAGATATTTGAGTTCCTTCCACCTCGTGGCTGCTGTGAACAAGGAGCTGCTGTAAATGTTGCTTCAACCTAAGAATAGTAACACAAACCTTTAGTCCCAGTACTCAGAAGGCTAGGAGGCCAGTGGTCCTTTGTGAGTTCAAGGCCAGCCTAGTCCACAGAGCAAGACATAAACCTGTAAGAACTACAGTCAATCTATATTTCAAAACAACTTTGTGTGTTTGGGGGTTGGGAACCACATGCCATGGCATGGGTGTGGAAGCCAGGACAACTTTAGGGAGTCAGTTCTTTCCTTCCACTTTGCTGATTCTATGAATCAAAAAATTATAACTGCAGACAGCTTTACCTGCTGAGCTATCAGTCAGCCCACATAACACAAAATATGGTCCAAGGGCTTGAATACGTATTTCTTCTTTTTTGAAAGTGCACGAGTTTTTTTCGTTGGACACATCTTGCATTCGAAGTACCCTTCAGTGACATCTTTAGCCTGAGGTTATTTGCTACAGTCCTTTGTCACTCCAGAACTGCAACCAGTCACTTAAACATTCATCTTTGACCACATCTGAGCTCACACGCACCATACACACAGACACACGCAAGTCCAGGACTGTCTCCTAACTGACGGAGGGACTGGAGACTAGGTTACAGTCCCTGAAAGAAGCACACACAGGACCACAGGACAGGCTTCTAAGTGGGCCGTGGTGGCAGCTGCCTGACTGTGCTGCAGCAGAAGAGGCAGCAAGTGAGGCTGAGCAGTCTGCCAAGAACTGCACCAGGAAAGTCGCGGCCACTCCCCTGCACAGCAACCTGTGATCCAGCTGGGAAGTAGAAAGGGGCAGGAGGAGCCAGGACTCTAGCCTGAGCTGGCTTCAAACTTGTGTCAGCTCCCTGCTTCTGCCTCGTGGTTGCTGGGATTCCAGGCTCTTGCCACCAAGTAACCCAGGCTGGCCTCAAACTCACCCTGTAGCCAAAGATATCCTGATACTCCTGTGTCTCCTCATCACACCTGGTTTATGTAGTTCTGGGGATCAAACACAAGCCTCGTGCGTGCATGCTAGAGTACATTTTTTTTTGAAGTCAAAACTATTGTAGTTATTTCCATACCTTTTAAATTTTTCTCCTGGGCTAAGTTTCTCAGATCTTGTCCTAGAGCAACAATGCATCTAACACTAGCTTTTCAGCCTGTGCTCTAAAGTACTTAAAAAATACACTCAGAATTAGGACTCTAGCTAGCCCTGCTTTCTGGTAGAAATGTTTACTACAGTGCAGACGCGTGTAGAAGATGGAACCGACCTCTAGGTGGGGACACGCCCTTGTCTCCTCCTTAAAGGGTTAATCCAATGGGGCAGGTGAGGACTAGGCTAGCTGACCCCTAGGAAGGTTGGTTCGTTCATCTTAAGATACTTCGCTTTTCCTGTTCTGAATTCCCAGCCTCTAACATTGTCCTCACCAGCTGCGCTGCCTTGTGGTGTCTCCAAGTCAGCCTGCCTTTCTTAGACCTATTTCTTCTAGTCTTTTTCTTTCAGGTGCTGACCTGAGGATGTTTTTCAGACTCCAGAACTAATTCTTGGGCTTCCTTATCTTTTACAAAGCTCCCCTCCACAGGGCACTTGGCTGCCTGCCTCTGTGTGACAGACCTCCGGGAGGCCTTATCTCAGGCCAGCTGGGGTTTGTTCCTTCTCTTCTCCTTTCTCCTCCTCCCATTGCAGGCTTAGGAGTTTGCCTGGAGTTTTCCTTTTAAACCTAATAAATGGTCCCCACACTTCTGTTTGTGTCCATTCTTAAATTATTTTACTAACAAAACTAAGAACCCCAAGAAAGGTCCCTGATTTCTCAGGTATTCTATAACAGCTCTGCGGGGTTCCCCAAGGTTTCAGTAACTGTCCTTTCCTGTCCTTTAATTCTTCTACTGACAGAGAGGACGAACCTGTTCCTGTGACTGTGGACAGCATCAATCCAACACAGCAGAGCTCAAGAGGGGGCACAGTCGAGAGCTAAACTGTGGGAGAGGACCAGCTGAAACGCTTGTTCTCCCAGGTTGACAAACCATGTACGGCTTCTACTGTTTCCTCTCCTCGTCCTGCAGCTGCAATCTTCTTCCATCTATTTCCTGTTGAGAATGTTTTGCAAGTTTACACATTCTGACTACAAATGGGGATAGGCGCTCCCAGGGCCCTATCCAGGACAGAGAGGTCTCCGTTATCATAAAATAAATACGTTCATGTGCTCATAATATCTGCTATTCCCTTTGAACTGGCCCAAACAGAACACTACACAGTGGGCGAGAACTTCAGATGTATTTAGCAGAGAACATGGGAGGGACGAGGCCAGAGATGGCTGCAGGACCTGATGTGGACACAGCACATACACTTTGTACCTCTTTGTTGCAGGAACTCGGCAGAGTACTGGCTAAGTCCCTGGTCTCCCATTCTTGTTTTTGCTGTTGTATTGCTATAATTTCTCTTATAGATAAGTTGTAAAAGCAATGCTGTATACCTGTTATGCAGATTCCAAGATGAGTACATTCTGCCTCTCTTTTTTTAATTTTTCTTTTTTGGTTTTTTGAGACAAGGTTTACTTTGTAGCTTTGGAGCCTGTCCTGGAACTAGCTCTTGTAGACCAGGCTGGCCTCGAACTCACAAAGATCTGCCTGCCTCTGCATCCCTAGTGCTGGGATTAAAGGCTTGCGCCACCACCCTCCTGGTTTAATTTTTCTTTCTTGATGAGGCAGGAAGGGTGCACTAGGGACTCAACAGGATTTTTTTGTTAGATGGAGTCTCACTGTGTTGCCCTGGCTAGCCTTGAACTCATTATGTAGAGTTGCAGGATATTTTATGACACTGAGAACCCCAAGACTGAGTTATTTACTGAAAAAAACCTGCTTATAGCTGTGGTATGGCTCAACCCTAGGACGTACCTTTAATCCAAGAGCTTTCTACTTGAATATTGTAAACAGGATTAAATGAAGCCAACCCCATACATAGGTCAAGAGGCAGAAGAACCAATCAGTTGACATTAAAAAAAAAAAAAAAAAAAAAAAAAAAAAAAAAAAAAAAAAAAAAAAAAAAAAAAAAAACTAGAGAGTAAGAGGTTCTGGGCCTGGTAGCACGTTACCCAAAGTCTGTGTCCTAGCAAAAAACTCCACCAAGGCAGCTTAAAGCATACCGTATGCAGTTAAATTGTTTTAAATAAGTATCTTTATGTTGTATGAATG